GACTTCGGCTCAGGTCATGATCTCACGGTTCGTGGGTTCGAGCCCCACATCGGGCTCTGTGCTGACAGCTCAGAGCCTGGAGCCTGCTTCGGATTCTGTGTCTCCCTCTCTCTCTGCCCCTCCCTGGCTCGTACTCTGTCTCTCTCTGTCTCTCTCTCTCAAAAATAAATAAACATTAAAAAGATTTTTTTAAATAAAAAAAAAATTAGAGCGTACATTTTCTCTTTCTCACTCATTCCCTTCCATTTCAGGCCACTAGTGTGTGTGGTAAGTGTAAGCTTGAGTATACTTTCTCAGACTCCCCTATCAATGACAGACCCCCAACAAACAAAGGCAAAACCCCAAGAGGAAATAGTCAAGGATCAAACTAGTTTGATTTTTCTCTAGTCTAGGATAAAAACAATACTTGGGGTACACATGTCGTATATATATTCCACCTTACCTTATAGAAGTAGATGTTGATATTTAATGCCAAACCCCGACTAAAGACTGTATATTTGTCTGAATATGGCATCCATATATTGACAGTCTTTGGGGACATAATGTGGAGGCAACTATAGGGGTAGCTGATTATAGACTCAGAATCCTTACTATACTTAACACATTCAATAATAAATGCCATGAAGGCTTACCAATTGCTGAATGCATCTCCATTTACCCACATCCAGGGTGTGCTCGCATTGAGTTTTTTCAGTCCAATCCAATAGGAAGAAGTTCCCAGATGGGGCATCAACATTTCCTTTTATGGAATACAGGGTGTTATAATGGATCTCTCCTAGTTTTCTCATTCTCATTACCTCTAACGCTATGGTCCTTCTTTGGGCCCATTATCCTCTTGCTAGGGTTATCCCAATAGCCTTGTAGCATGGCACTCTGCTTTTGTATTTGCCACTCATTAGCTCATCACAACAAAGCAAATGATTCTTTTAAAACTCAAGTCAGATCATGTCTCACTTTTGTTCATAGTTCTGCAATATCTCCCTAATTTTACTTGGAGGAAGACCAAAGTATTTACAATAGCCTCCAAGACCCTAATCATCCACATTCCTCACTCACTCCCTCATGCTAGGCACATTGGCTGTTTTGTTTTGTTTTGTTTTGTTTTTTCTGGTCCTTGAATATTCCAGGCATACACCTACCTTAAGGTCCATGCTCCAGATGTTTCTTCTTCTTGGGAAGCTTATCCCCCAGATATTCCTTTAACCAACTCTCTTAACTACAGTTTTGTTCAGTGCCATCATCTCAATGAAATAAGACTATCTTACTTGCAGCCTATCCACCTAGGACACTCATAATATTGCTTATGTATCTATCTATATATCTATATATATCTATATCTATATATCTATATCATATCATATATCATATCATATCATATTCATATATATCATATCCATAAATCATGTATATGTATATAAAAATTTACTACCTTCTAAAATACTATGTAATTTAATACATTTATTATGATTATGTTTTATTCCCTGTCGCTTCCTTTGGAATCTAAGATCCATAAAGGCAAAAGTCTTTGTTTTGTTGACTGATCTATCACACCCTTGAAGTATACTTGTCATATAATAGCTAGTCAATAAATTAAATGAGATTTATATTGTGAAAGAGAAATCTAACCACTTCATTCTTGGAGTTGAATATGGCCAGAGATCCACGATAGGCTATGCAGTTTTCTTGACCCTCTATCCAAGTTTTTGCACGTTCAGATTGAAAGAAGCAATTATTACTGATTTGGTTCCAGTCTTGTGGACATATAGTT